CAGACACTAAAGGAACCCTTAGATAGGTGAAAATGATGACTTAAACTTACCATTATGACATATATAAATAAATTAATAAAACGCAGACAAGTACTATGATAATAAAATAGTATCATTGAAAGTTTTGGAATCTTCTTTGTACGTAGTACAAATACAAATATACGATCGACTATTTTGTACATATAAACTGTCTATATTCGTTTTGACCGAGTTGTTATCGTGCCCGCCTCCTTGAAGCTAAACTCAAGTGGTGCCAGCCTTAAAAAAACGTGTATACTTCGCATAACGTGTTTCTATTCACCCTTTGGGAAATAGTCTGCTCGTCCATTTGTCACGGCAAATTTGTCGAATTCCTAAAAATACAGGCAAACTGATCGATTACCATTCACGGAGCGTGTTCCCCGTCTGCGAATGCGTTCTAGTTTAGTCACGTCCGTATCCCGACCGAGAGAGCTTTCTATTTTGCCAGAAGACTCTATCGGATTTGAAAGTTGGGAAAGAATTTTATCAATATAGACAATATTTGTGGGATGCACCTCACGTTGGCATTTTAAGGTGTTGCTTTTCGAAAGGGCAAAAGTTTATTTTTCGCTACTCCCATTTTCTCCTAAGGAAGAAACACCTTTAAAATAAAACAAATTAAAACAGAAAATAAATTAAAAAATTCAAAGAAAATGAACAATTATTATAAAAATTAGCATCGTCATACAAAGGGAAATCATTTCGTGGACTTAATGTTCCATTTAAAAAAATTACCACACTTAAACGGATCAGCCTTTATGCTATTATTATTATTTTTTAAATTCACATTGATTCAAACTTGATTATGCAAACATTACTTTAATAGGAGTATGTGATTTTGTTTTGTCTTCTCTTCCTGGAAGTATCTGCACAATGTTTCTTCTGCCTGTACTTCAATCCAGTGCATGTGCTTTCTTAGGCAGTGCCCAGTCAGGAGTCCAACCAGAATACCTGGTTCGGTTGCGGTTGCTTTCCAGTAATTCCTTTGTAAGTTTTACGGATGGGCCTTCTATAAATCTATTTCCGTGCCTGATACCTGTTGTATTGTTTTCCCAGATTTTGGATTCATTAACGATCCATTTTAAGATATATCCTCATTTGTAGCAAGATGCTAACCCACAGTAGGGTTCAGGACCTAGAAAGTCCACGTTGGCTCCCTGTTTGGCCAACATGTTAACCTTTTCATTGCATCTATGTCCCCCCCACAGGGACCCATGTCAGGGTCAGCTGTATTAGTGTGAATGTGTAGTGTGAGAGGGTTGATAGTGAAAAAAGGTACTCCAAGGTCAACTATCAAGATTAGTTACATAATATCTGTAGTGGGTGACACTTCGGTCAGTGCCTCCGTGCAGTTCCAAACACTCTTTGCCTTCACCTTGCATGAGGCTAGGGCCTTTAGTGTTGCATGACTGTCAGAGGAATTCCTGGAATTTATTCCTAGCCTTTTTATTTCCCTGATGTAGAGTTCAATCGCTATGATTTAATTCTGGAAAACTGTAACATATTTACCTAAGTTTACCAACAGTTTAGTCTTTGGATTCATCCCAAAGACTCCAGCCCCCTGCACTTGTCAGTTTTGGAGCAGTGTACCAGTAGGAATTTGTCTTTAGCAGTGTTCCTTTGGCCCATTCTTCCCATTCTGGTATGAGTACCTTGTACTTTTCAGCAAAATTGTATTTGTGAGTAGTGGCATTGATTGGCATGCCTAATATGGCATCTGCCTGTATCTCCTCATTTAGATTCCATTGTTTATTTACATGGCCTATCCTTACAGATGATTGTCCATTTATGAGTCTGTGGGCTGCTGCTCTGGTCGCTCCTTGGATAAAAATATGAAGGTAATACCACCTCCAGTGCCGCAGTTGACTATTGTGTTTATGGTTCCAGTGACACTGAGGGAGGAGAAAGGAAAAAAAAGAGAAAAAAGGGAAAAAGGAATGGTCCCGACCCAAAGGGAATGAATAAAGAGTGACTAATGAAGTCATTCTACAGTGGAACTGCAGTTCCTTGTCAGAGAACATATGCCGATGGTGATATTCTTCCAGGAAACCTGCAATCACCCGGGAGTGCACTCTCAACAGAACTAGATAATATATGAAACCCTGCCTGAAAAACCTGCCACTAGGTTACATGGGAAAGTCATACATACAAATCATATTAAACATTATATCTCAATGGACTGTTTAGACTAGCTCTAATTTAAAACAATATTATAACTTGCTGACAATTATTTAATTCACCTGAATAAAACATATAAGATAGAAAACAATACTGATTTATATAAGTTCAGCTCTGCATATGCATGTTCATATTAAATATACAGATTTATGTCACTTCTCATATTCTGCCGGCAATTCCAACATTTGTGTAATTTACAATAAATTACCAGCAGGCCTTGAGAATGATGGCAATCCAGGATCGACCTTGATCTTATCCGTCCAGCCATGGCTTCAGGGGCTATCAACAGCTAGGTCATTTTAGCCACCAATCCAAACCCACTCACTTTATGCAATCACTCTCTCACTCACTCTTAAATACATTCTTTCCTATATACCACTTCTCAGAGCGGTGGAGTAATTAATATTCCATTTTCACCCACTATAGATATTATATAACTAATCTTGATAGTTGACCTTGGAGTACTCAATTTTTCACTATCGACCCTCTCACACTACTAAATTCAATCTCAACATACACAAAGAAACACAAGACAAGATGTCTTTAAAATATTACATTCAGTAAAACTGCCCTGTTTCCTCTAAAAAACAGGGGACTTCAGATACTTGCTGTCAAACTCATGCACAATTCTCATATCGGGTAGCATTTCTACACAAAGGGGAAAAAAACATGCTCATAATTGTTATTTCAACAAGTTATGAACACAAATAGAAAAGACTGTAAAATAAAACATCACAAATTTAATTAGTTGCTGTAATTACACACAAAGTTAATATTTAAAAACCCCTAGTGCTGTTGTTCAACAGCTTTTAGCATTGATTTATAATTTTTAGGCAAAATGTGGCTGAGATGAAAAATCAGTGTCATGAGCTCAATCCCACAACATTAGGCTCAACTTCGTGCTTTTAGCATGTTGGTCTGTCCAAAGAGGAAAGATTGAATTACATGACCTTAAGTTTCTATCATTAAAGTCCCCCTTCCATACTTTCATTAACAAAGCACCAACATAAGTTTAAAAAAATCCAAACTTCACAGAGAATATTTATTTTAATTAAAATGCTTTCTAATTGTTCCAATAATTCATAATTACCATCTTTGTGAGGATAAACTTGTAGTATACATAGTTTTGTACTATATTCTATTGACTAGATAGATAAAACAAACCTGTAAACTGAAATCGGATTCCTTAAAATTGGTTGAGAAAACCTTAAAAAAATATTTATGTAATAGACAACGAATCATATTTTCTTGATAATTTTGTGATATGTCATTTTATTACCTCTTGCCAAAGGCTTTTTGATATTTAATTAAACAATTCCCACAATTATTCAGAAATCGTGAGATGTGGTCTGGTGGTAATTATCGATTAACGGTCACTAATCACCACACAAAATTCCCACAATATATTTTGTCTGTTAATACAAATTTGTTTAAATAATTTTACAAGGCTTAAACAGATTATGTATGGTGAATATGGTGGGTGAGGTTTGGGGACGTTCTAGCCTAAATTGTCATGGAAGAAAATGAGACCCATTTCTCTTCACTAATGCAGGCCGCTTTTCCTTTATAGTTGCATTTAGTTGGTCGAGGTGGGAACATTATTTGTTGGAAATGACATTTCTTCCTCAGGAAGATGTTCATTTGTTTTGTTGTGGTACAATCATCGTACATGCATAACATACAGTTTATCTTTTTCCTTAATTAATGTTTCAAGTTAGTCATTACCAGCATAATGAGCAGTATTCCAGGAGACATCTTGCTCTAAGCATGGCCTACTCCAGCAACGTCACTTAATTAAGAAGAAAAGGTTAAGACAATTTATTTGAATTTGTTGCATCTGGATTTCACTACAAATATATTTCAAATAATAACGACTCAAATACAACACATTTTATATTTATTATTAAGATTTTGGATTTATTTATGCCTGAATGACATTTATTGGTGTCAAAATTTACAAGGGAGTGTACTGTATAAGAAAGGAAAAGTTCATAATCGATGCGACTAGAGTGGCCCCTTATTGGTCGATTTGATCATGAAAGAGTGTGTTGAAGACCTGGAGAACGGCGAAGTCAGTGCTGCATATTGGAATCTGAATGGATGGAATCTATGAAGTTCTGTGACATTTCTTGGGGAGAAATACCATATTGGTAACCTAGCCATCCTTGAATATCTTAAGAATGTGATAATCCTACAATATCATTTAGTGCCTTTTTTGCCTTACTTATTCTCTAAACAATTGTTTATTCATGATAACACTCTATCAATTGTGTTTTTGAGTGCCTAAACTGTACACCACAGAATCTTTTCTTTAAATTATATTTTGCATTCTTCAGTTGCAAAGAGGTAGAGAAGACCTTTAATTTTAAAGTCTAATAGGTTAGGAAAATTAAATGCAGTTTAGAATATTGTTCGAATGTTTAACTAAAAACAAATTGAAGGTCTAAATACAAAATAATAATTATTAAGATGTGAGGAGTCTGGGTTGTTTGGGAGTGCTGTTGTATATGCAAAGGGCAAATGGTCCCTGGGAAGCAAGTAGAATGTGGACTTTTCCAGGAGCATTTGTTGCCATGTAAGATTTTTATCCACATCCTACTAATGCTACCAAAATTAGGTGTATACCCGAATGAGAAGTATGGGGTAGTGCCCTTTGGGGTCGTGAGGGTTCGCACCAAAAAATGATATTGACTGAATGCCTGTAAAGCAAAGTAAAAAATAACAACAAATGTATTTAACATTTTCGATTATGAATTAGAAAGAAGTTGTACGGAGGTTTGATAGTTATACATACAAAAATGTTCTGTAGGAAATAGTTGTATATTTTATGTATAAAATCTCTTCTGAACATGAAACGACTATAATTAATTAAATAAGTGTCCTTCTAATTTAAAAAAAGATTCCATTAGATGATTATGTACATTCACTTACTTACAGGTTTAAAAAATGAAGTATAAAAAACCAAATTAACAAAATATTTTCTCAGTGCAATAAAAACAATTAATTTATTGTGTTGTTCAATCGAGATTTGCGTTTTTTATTTTTCTTGTTTTGTTTTTTTGAATTAACGGGTAAAGAATTGCGTTTCGATTTCTTTCTTTTCTTATTATTTGAATCTACAGATGAATCAAAACTATTCCTCTTCTTCCCACGGTTTGGTTTGTTTTTGTTTACAAAATGTTTGTTTCTGGGGGAATAGTGCTGCTGATGAGAATGTGAATTTTGTTTGAAACAATAGCTCTCATTTCCATCTGGAACACAATGATACAAACAATGAAAAAAAATGTTTTGTTATAATTTAATTAAAATTTAAATATAAGAAAATAGAATGCTGGGGCAAATAAAAGAAATACCTTCATATGTATTCACGAACAGGCTTATTTTAGGAAAATTGATTTTCTTATACTCAATGAATCTACAATCTTCATCGAGATGCCCAGCAGAACCACAGTTGCAGCAAAACATTTTAGGATTTCTTTCATAATTATTACTATTTAGCGCTCCACTGACCTACAAATAAACAAAAATAAAGAATGATGGTTATATCCTTAGGTTTTATGTTATTATGAGTCGACTCATAATGACCTTGTGCACCATGACCAATATAGGCCTACTGTGCATTGTTATGTACTTAACTGAACTGAGGTTTTGTAAAATAAATAAATAATTTTTGAAAAAGTAGAAATGTCATAATATTTAATAAAATTTTTGAGAAGTGTTTGAGAAAGAATATTGTTGAAACAAATAATATAAAATAAAACTAAAATTGTCCCTCACTGTGGCATGATATTGCCTCCATTTATCAGGGCAATTTTTGGATTCATGGCCGATTCTCTGACAATTGTAACACTTGATATTCGAGAGTGCAACGCACCGGCCACACTTTTCTACATATGCATTAGTTCTATCACCACACTGAAATAAAGAAAGTATTAAGCCACGAATAAAAATTTGACCTGTTGTTGAATCGTTAATCTTACATTGAGGCACATTGTCCTCGGGCACTTGTTCACATTGTGGCCTTCGTGTCCGCACATCATGCAGCTGGAATAATTTTTGGGACATTGCCTATAAAAATGGCCGAACTGCCTGCAGTTTCGGCACCGCATCATTGTTCTTGAAGGTAACGTATCGGCAACATTTATTGTCCATTTTGCAGTTTTATCTAAAATTAAATAAAAAAATTTGGTTACACATTACATACTATTTGAGTTGGTTGATCAAATAGCAATGCCAGTGGTTCGTTCAGTAAACATTCAGTTGCCTTTAAAGAAATATGTTATCTAAATTATACTTCTTTAGAAAGGGACTGATGGTTTAACTCATCCAGTGAGTCCCTTGGTTCCACCTTACAATGGTTTACATTAGGCGTTAAGAAGAAATTAAATAACACTCAAATTGCAGATTTCTGGCTGACAAGTTATAGTTTAAGTTGGATAAAATCAAACCAGCATGCCCTATTTAAATAAAAAATATAACTTTCAATTAATTAAGGTTTTTTTAGTTGAGATAAAAAAGTCAGTGTCACGAGCAGGATTCGAACCCACGACCTTCGGCTAGATACGCCGCTGCTCTACTACTTGAGTTATCGTGACTTCGATCCACTCGGACACTAACTTCCCATCTCAACCCCACCTTTTGAATTTTCCCTCCATTTTGCCATTTTTCAAATTCGTCTTTTTTATCTCAACTAAAACACCTTAATTAATTGAAAGATATTAATTGGTCAAGTGGACCACGAAAATTAGTGAATTTAATAAGTTAAATGAAGTATATCTTCACTAAAGCTTTCCGTGTCCATTTCATTTGTCGCCGAGAATCAAATAGATTAACGGCATTTGAAAAATGATAAAAAGGAGGGAAAATTCAAAAGGTGGGGTTGAGATGGGAAGTTAGTGTCCGAGTAGATCGAAGTCACGATAGCTCAAGTGGTAGAGCAACGGCATATCTAGCCGAAGGTTGTGGGTTCGAATCCCGCTTGTGACACTGACTTTTTCTCTCAACTAAAAAACCTTAATTAATTGAAAGATGTTAATTGGTCAAGCAAGCGGACAAGGAAAATTAGCGAAAAAATATAACATTGTTTGGTTGAGAAGGGTCGAAAAATAGCTCTACGTATAATTAGAGGCTCAGGACAATATCTTATGTTGCAGCAGTCTAACTGGCAGGAATAATGTCATTTGACTACTAAATTAAGGTAGTAGTGGATAACTACTATGAAACAGGTAAAGGAACACCTACACATTATCCACAATTAATGCTAGATTTGCCCATTAAATTGGAAAAATGGGATCGGGATCATCCAGCTAAGATTGAAAATGCACTTGGAAAGGAGCAAGCCAATGTATGAAGTATTTGCAGACGGGAGTACAATTTCTGCAGTGTGGGATGCGCACCTGTTGCTTATAGAGATTCAACTATTATTTGTATTACAAAATCAAAATTAGCTAATTGGTGCAGCAATAATCATGAGGAACTTCTCGCAATCTGGGTAACTTCAGGAAAATTAATAAATACAGAAGAGGAGGCAACAAATAGAACTACAAAAATACATACAGATAGTATGGTTGCATTGAATATGATCGAAGATAAATCAAATCAGTTAAATCTAAATGAAGAAACCCAAAACAAATTGAAAGATCTCAGGAATAACTCAGGATGGAAAATAACATTTCAGAATTGGATATGCGGGGAATGAACTAACAGATACTATGGCAAAGGAGGATGCAGAAATATTAACATGGATGTCACTTTTACAAAGGTGCCAAAAAATTACCTCAAAAATATGGCCACACAACTAATTAGGAAATTGAATGGACAACAACAATGCAGGCTGCAATAACCAAATTATTTTTCCTGATGTAAAACAAAGAATAGGCATGGAAATATCAAATTTGTTCAAAACCACTGTAGCTCTCACAGGGCATGATAAAAACCGTTTGTATTTTCTCATCACTTTAGGATCATCGATGACTCTGGGTGCCTGGGCAACGTGAATTACCAAATATGTAAGCACATTATCTGACTGTGCTTTCTTTGATCCTCAAATTTCAGCATTTATTAAAGAAGACCTATTAAGTGATGAAAAATGGCCAATGATCGAACATGAGTAAATGACAAAATTCAAAGAATATTTTTTAAGATTTATAAATTCAATTAAATTAGTTGTTGAAAAATTTGTAGATATTAATAAATCATCTTGTCAATGTTATGGTTTCATTAAAATTAAAATATTAAGGCTGTTGATTCAAATTTTTGTGAAAATTCAAACTCCAGGACAGTTCTGATGCCAGTACATCACATACAAGGACATGATGAATCTACCAAGTACAAGACCCATTCAGGTCATACAGTGAAACCCAATATTTATTTCCTTGACATCAATGGAGAGAGTATTAATAATACTAATTATTTAGAAATCGTGAGATGCGGTCTGGTGTGATGTAGGTTTCAGAAAAACATTTTCTTTATCGTGCCAACGTTTTGATCATTATTGAGATCATCTTCAGGGCTCAAAGTGTTTGTCTTCTGTGTAATTGTGCCAATCTTGCGTGTCGTGTCGAGAGTGGTCACTAATCACCACACAATACTAATTATAATAAATTATAAATCTAGGTATGTTATTTGGTATGAAATAAACTGTATATTATTTTGTGTTTTTGATTTACAGTTTTCCTTTGTTAATCATCACAAGGTGGATCTAAAATGAAAAACAGAGTGGAGAGTCAAAGGCCTAAATGTTGACCTAGTAAAAGCTCTAGGACCCCACACAATTTTTCAATCTGAAATAAATTCAATAGAACTCTCTGCAAGAGATTAAAAGGTGCACAGATAAACATTTTCAGACAGTCAAGAAGCATTAAAGGCCTAAGATTCCTCCAACTATTCCAGGAATTCCTAATATATCTCCAACTCCTGAGAAAACGTTATAAAACAATTCTGCTGTGGGTACGAGGACACGAGGATATTGGAGGATCAGGATGCAAACTAGCAAAAGCACCCTTTGAACTAGAAAAAAAGGCAAACCTGAACAAATTAATAGAGAAAAAAAAGACCACACACTGGATGAATCCACTGGGTGTAAAACAAAGAAATTCCTGGGAATTCAACCAGGAAAACAAAAATCTCCCCCCTGTCAGTAGGCAAGAATTAAGAAAAATAATAGACTTTTATACTGTCAATTGCTCAATGAATCATAAAATATTGGAAAAATAGCAAGCTGTTGACTCTGTTATGAAGATGCAGAAACGTGATGAGATTTCAAAGCATTTCAGTTGAGTTTGAGTTTCATTAAACTGGAAACGGTACATCCTCTTTGAAAAGGCGATATTGAAGAATAAAGAAATAGGCGAAGATAAACCCTGGGAAGTGCTAAAAACCATCAAGGTAGTGCAGTTTTCAAGGTTTTAAAATAAAGAAAGAGTCATTTTACAATATTTTTTTTAGGTCGCAGTGGAAGAAAAGAAGACTTTATATGGAAGGCTGAATGTAATACGAGTCACAAGGCAATCCTACATAACATAATTTAATTACCATATATTTATTTGTTATTCTAACGACTAAAAGTAGATAATTTATAGATAATTCTTCTGAACAAATACCTTTTCTTAGTTCTTTTAAAATTTGTTTGTGGTCAAAATTTCTCAGGTTTTCAGATGGTTCGTTATAGAATTTCTTCATTTCTTCAGTCCAATTTTTCGGGCTTGAGACTTTCATCCAGTCTGTTTGAGACTGGATGATATCCGAGACTGTAAATGTTGGATCGTTCTCATAATCATTTCTGGCAGAAAGATCCAGATTCATGACGAGATCTTCATCTTTCTCGTCATCGGATAAGAGCACAACTTTTTTGTTTTTCTTCGCTATGTCATTCCCTCTGCGCTGTTCAAATTTCCGCTTCATGGTTCTTTTACTATTCTTATTTATAACTTCTACCACGGAGACTTCATCGTCTGAACTTGAATATATTGAAATCACTTCATCTCTATTTTCAATGAGTACCTCAGACTCTTCTTTCTCAACCTGAACTGTTTTGCCTTTTTTCAATGACACCTCCAGTTGGTTTTCTGAATTGAATCTGATGTCGTACTTCTCAAGCAAATGATCAGGTATACCTTGGCTGAAGTCGTTGTGATGAATTACCGAGTAAAGTTCATTGGCTAACTCATCGTCAGAACTATCCTCAGATTCGGGATAATCATTTTCCTCAAAGTCGATCAGGTCCATTTATGTCATAAGGTCTTTAAGAAAACAATCATTTCATAAAAACACGACGGCGATATAGTCAAAAGATTAAAAAAAAACATACAGAACACGCAAACAGTCAAACGGGTCCCATTTGTGAATGATATAACCTCAAACCAAGACTGGTGAAAATCAGGATGACAGAAGTGAAAGCAAAAAGCCTCTTTTGCCTTTAGCAGTTCCAGCACGTGTCATAATCATACCTGACGTCATATGCACAACTTTTTTTTAACATAAAAGTGTTTTTAGTTTAGCTACTTTTACATCGTTGTTGCTTTATACATGTATATATTATACTACATATATATACATATATTATACATACTAGTTATACAATACACTATTTAATATTTATAATTGAATATTTGAAAAATTTGCTCATTTTTTCCCTCCGAAAAACGAGTCTAATAAATAAAAAAAAGCAATCGTGAAAATTTCTCAAAATAATTTTTTAAATAATATTACAAACCGGTCGAATATTTAAGGTATAAATATATAATAATAATATTGTAATATCAATGAGCCTTCCTTCGATGAAACAATATTGTAACCTACGCATGATCGAAAAGCGTCATTCAACTCTGATCAAAAACTGCTGTCTAATCTTGGTTCCTGTTCTAAATAACTGATTTAAAGCAACATGGTTCGTTTTTTGCCCTTTTTTCTTATTCTAGAAATTTTAATATATGAACCTCCTGGTTTATCTTTTCAGAGTTTCGGTCTGCCTTCCCTGAAACCCGAACTAGAGACAATTCCAGGACATGGACTTAAGAAGAACAACTTCGGTGTGCATGATTCATTGGCTTTTGGGTAATTATTATATATTATTAAATCAACATTAAAAAAAAAGAATTGAAAGCTTAATACAAGTTAATATGCATAGTAATGCCTTTAGATTTGAAGTTAGCGATGCCTTACTTTCATGTACTTCAAAACATGGACTGCACATAATTGGCATATTGCCTGAGATGTTTAAATCCAATGACCTTTAAAGCTGCGTACCCACTATGTTCGTGAACCAGTAGCGCTCCACGATCCTATAACCAAGTGGAGACGAGGCTGAGAACATGGTCGCTCCGCAAGAGATCCACAGTGTTCACCTGAACATGGAAGGATTAACATGTCCGAGATAGTGGCTAGTGCATGTATATATTTTTGTCCACTATTTGACTGAAAATTATAGAAGGCCCTGTAGTTTTTTTGCAAGTAGATTTCTATAAAAAGAGAGCCAACCATGACTTTCTAAACCTAAAATCACTAGAATTAAGGGGTCACTACAAGAATTTTTTGCGAATGACTTCCTCCAACTTTGAAGATCTAAAGTTGGTAGCACCGGCTTTCCAAATAAAAAAAAAAAAAAGTTATGAGATGCTAAATCTGCTCAGTACAAGGTTACAAGAGCAGTACACGAACCTCACTGCCGTGCTCCCCATTGAGTTCACACAAAAACTGTCAGCCATTGGAACACTCTCGAATATTTGCGAACTGTTACACTCTCCGAGTGCAGAAGCATACACACTAAAGATGAACCTGGTTCGCAAACATAGTAGATACGTTAAGGCAGTACAAAATTTAAACTAAGCTGTTTCTTGCTTTATGTTCATTACCTAACGGAAACAGCTTTGGATAGCTTCGAACACTATTACGACACTGCCTTACACAAATGACATTGCATATTGCAGAGAGCATTTAATTTTCTGCAATGTAGGGTTGGAGCCCAGGAGGCATGCAGGAAAGTTCGTCAAAGGACTAACATAGAAACTAACAGCAGAACTACCAAATCAAGGACGTGTTAGGACTACAATAATAGTTGGACTGTTGTCCTGACACTGTAGACTCTTGAGGGCATATGTTGGGCAGGCCGGAAAATGATGTCGTTTTTTTACATTAAATTCAAACATAAATGTTTAACAAGTTTTTATTTTTAATCAATTATGTAATCACCCTCGTTATCAACAACCCTTTGCCATCTAGTGTACAAATTTTCAATGTCATATTGTTAAAAATCAATTCATTTTTAAGTGAAATATCTGGAGATTGCATTTTGGACATCATCCAAATTTTTGCCACTTAGAAAATTTAACAATTGAGAATAAAAGGAAATCCGATGGCGCAATATCAGGCAAGTAAGGTGGGTGAGGCAGGAAATACCTCCCCAATTCATTAATTTTTCCCAGGGTTCGTCTTGCACAGTGCATTCTTGTATTTTCTTGTTGCAGAATAATACCTATTCATTGGGCACTTTTCAATGAAAGATTGATTTACTCAATCTAATTGTTCACAGTAAAAGTCTGCATTCACAGTTCGTCCAGGTTTCAGCACTACATAATCAATGACCCCGTAAATATGCCACTAAACACAAATGCACCTTTTTGAGGTGTAAACTTGGCTTGGTTGTACTTCATGGCGATTCATTCGGAGAGAGAGCCACTGCCTTTTGTGTTTTGGATTATCATGGAGGACTCATTTTTCGTCTCCAAAATACACTTCTATACTATGTCTCTCAAGTAATAAGTTGTATGTGGTGGACCAGTTAGCTTTGTTTTCTTCAGACAGATTGTGTGGAACCCATAAACACCACTTACTCTACTTACTTTACCATTCTGCTGCAAATGTTCTTCGATGGTCGACCTAGGTTGGTTAAGAGTATTATTTAAAAGATTTTTATTATTTTTTAAGAGTATTATTACATTTCCTCAATTGTCTGACATAGATTTGTTCCCACTTCCACCCACATGCCATTGTCTAAATCTGTTGTTTTTTCTAATCAATACAGGTTGAAAAGATCAAAATTACCAGATTTAAACATAGAAAACCACCTTTGGCATTTACAAACATCTAATTGATTTGGATAAACATTTTGGTAGCAAATGTTGCATTACAATCCTTGTGAAACTCAAAAAGCGTACTATGCCGGGTATGTACTCTTCTGGTATTTGGCTGGCCATTTCACTATAAATTGTACAAAAAAATTAGATTTCATTATTTATGAGTAATCAAGGCATTTTAACCTTAAAATGTCTTGGCATGACTTAGTACAAAATGAGCAGATAAATGATAAATGAATATCAGTGTGCGCAGAAATTACATTATTTTCCAGTATCCTCAATATATAGGCTCAGAATGGCAGAAACAAGCCAGCAAGTAGGAGAGAACCTGGAAGAAGAAGAGACTGCAGAACATATTTTCTATTGGTACTTATACAGGCTTATATAGGGTGAGATTCCTACTCCTGGGATCTGCCAGGGTATGAATAGTACCACAATGAGTCCTTGAAATAGCTTCGGTTAAATCTGTTAAAAAGCCTTAAGATTAATGAAGAGCTCTTGAGAATAATATTGGTCGCTAAAAAGTTAAAAATAAATAATACGAAAATACAACTAAAACTAATTTTATTGTTTACTAATATTATCTAAATCTATTTTCTAGGTTGAAAAATGTGAAAGGAAATATACAACAAAACCATCCGTTGGAGCTATCAGAGAAAAATGTAAGCTGCATTTATCACAGCGATGAATTTATTTTAATTATTTAATTTTGTTTAATGTGTGTTATAGTACGATCTAAAAGAGTGGAAGATGCAGATGACAATTTTAAGAAACACCCAAGGTTTACATGCACCGATTAAGCTCGGAGCTGAGCTATGGGCTGCGAAGCAAGTTGGAAGGTTGCCCTTCATGGAAAGCTCCGGTCTCGCTACAGCAACAATAAAATCAACAGACGATATGCTTGATTTTACTGATATTCTTAGTCTGCCTGAACAAGATGAGCACCTTCTTATGCCTCATGTAGTTATGGAACATAAACTTGGAATCTTGTAATTTTGTTGCTTACTTTTATTCTGTATTTTGTATTAAAATATATTTAAATCACTATAAATTTAGTTTTAATTTATATTTTTTCCATACCAGATTAGAAATCATTTAAGACTATAACATGTCAAAGGTTGCAACAATAAAATCAAAGCCTTTTGTTCTAACTGTTTTATATTCTGCTATAAGCGATGATTTGCAAATTGTTGAGTATTTATCAGAAGTTCAATCATTATGATCTAGGTAAAATAATTCCTATAATAACCCATTGGGTGCAGCAGGCACTTTACTTTTTCATAAGTACCCAGAACTGATATCGTGGTAAATACAAGTCGAACACCCTAACCAGTGTGGTCTCTTATTATTATCTATTTTGTGATGGTAATTAATGCTTGCTTTATGGACCTTTGCTTCTTTATGGATGGCTAAGAAGAGACATAAGAATAACTTCATGATAAAATAAAAATGTATATGTGAAGCATGGGATTTTATCATGGCATCAACAGAGGTCATATCAACTTGGGAGTTCTGAAGATTTTGACAAAAAGCCCATTTATAAGTACTCAAATCTGAGAGTGATGTGTCATCACAATAACTGTTGTAGCCAAAGCCATTTCCAATCTCCCTTAAACATTAGTTTAAGACCCAAAACACACTGGAGTAGAGGGTGTTTGAAGGAAACCAGGATGACCAACTACTGAACCACCAAGTTAGGTGAGAATAAATCACACTGATCAAGAAAATGTTTTGTTTATATCTACTCCAGGCACAATCAGTCATTGCCAAGGTAGCATACACTATGCATTTGTCTAAGTGCTATGTAGATACATGAAAAGACAATCTTTCAGAAATACCAGCTGCTCTTGTACAAGGTTGTGGACCCAATGATTCTTATATATATTATGCAGGGTGGGCGACCAAGACCCAAGGGGTTAAATGCCTGCGTAGACTCGTACCTCATCCCTAAAAGGTCCGGGACTTAGTCGGCTCATGTGTCTTGCATAAATATCTTGGACCTGTTCACAAACCCAAAGATTTTGGACCATTTGATCTTGGAGAGTGATTTGGTGATATCCTCTCCTTCAAAGATTTCAAATCTAGACCTAGTATACCTATCACACTCTGCGAGGTAGTGTCTTGCCGTTTTTTCTTTTATTTCGCAAAAACGGCAAAAGGGATCTGGTAGGATACCCATTATGGAGAGGTGTCTTCTCAGTGGGCAGTGGCCCGTCAGGATACCTATCAGCCTCCTAATTCCCTTCCTTGAGATAGAGAATAGCTATTTCGATTCTGCTGGTTTGATCGCCTTAACAAACTCTTTCGATTGCCTGTGTCCGGGGGATAAATTCCACTCCCTAAGGAATTGTTTCATGCCCCAGTTATTAATACTCTCTTTCCCTGTGCTCTTAGAGTGAGGTAATACCGGTTGTGGCCCGACAAACGCAGTATTAGAACCTTCTTTGACTAGACAATCCGCCTTTTCATTGCCATGGTGCTCTTTATGTGCTGGTATCCAAATAAGGGTTATCTTGTTCTCAAACCTGGAAGAAATCCTATTGACAAGATCTATAGTTTCCTCCACCAGTTGTTAGGTTGACAAATCTTTTTGTAATGATAAGTACTAAGACTAGCCTGACTGTCAGAAAAAATTCTAATACCTTTTCCCTTAATTTTATTTTCCATAAGTGTTCTACAACACACATTAATGGCCCAGATTTCCGCCTGAAAAACGGAGGTGTTATTACCAAGAGGGGAGGAGATGCTGATTCCTAATTTTGGTATGTAGATTCCTGCACCACTCCCTCTTCCTTTGATAAGTGATCCATCTGTGTAGCAGTCTATGTTACGATGGTCATCATCAAACTATAATTACAATCATAAGGGGTGACTACCTGAAAGTGCTTTCCCCCCAATGATTCTTGACATTCACATTAATATTTTTGAAAACATTAATTTCAAGAATTGAAATTGTCAGAGGTGAGGACAGTTTTAAATTAACTATATAGAGGATAAGAGCAAGAAATGTCTTGGTAGGTCTGTCAGACATGCTTTTGTGAGTCTGTCTGTAGGCAGACAAATCAAGCTAGGGAAGCAGACTAAAATGATTGGTAACGTCCAAATTACAGGTTAATCACTTGTAAGATTCAAGCTCCAATTGCAAGAATTCAGGACTTACGTCAGTCTCATTTAGCTCTGAAATTGTTGCAAAATTTTGTTAAGGGAGTGGTGAATAAACGCAATTGCTGTTATTGTTGGAACATGGTCAACCCACACGTCTACCAAAAAATAAATTAATTAATTTAAAAAAGTCTTATTATTTCTAAAACTTTTTGAGACAAAAGATAAAAGTTTATGTGCCTCGGGATTTAAGTGGAACAGAATTTAAATTCACCATGCATTAATAGTCTAGTACAATAGAGAATAGCAGATTTAAGATGATAAATGCTTGTGAATATTTTTTTTTTAATTTTTGGGAAAATTAAAAACAAAAATTCCTCAAAATTTATTCATGCCTCTCAGCAACGTCCCACATTATTTTATGTTTGGTCCTAATATTTTTAGAATGTTTCATACCAATACCTTTTAGAAGGCTTATCGTGCTACATGAACAACTTTCAAAAAATTTGAAGCAGTTTTTGTCAATATAGATTCAGAGGTATTGCACTCTGGAGATTGTATGAATAATCTCTTCTATTTTGGTTACTAACGAGCTATTCATGCATAATCAATCGTAGGAACTTGTTTTGAGTTCTTTGAGTGTTGCAGGTAAAGCTCCAAGCGGCACAAGCTTATGTGTAACACAGGCCTAACCTGGTTTTATAAATGGGCAATTTATTTCGTTCGGTCAATTGGGAATCTCAGCAGGAAAGTGGAAATAAATGTTTTTACATATTTCTTTCCTCTTTCGATTATCTCAGTAATATGAGTTGTGAACGTAGCTTTGTGTCTAGCCAATGCCAGGTCCTTATTGTGAGAGACCAGTTTATTATAATTTTATAATAGGACAGTCATCTCACAGCCTTGCTTAGTCGGTTTGCAATGGTGCTCACCCTCCATGATGGGCATATAGAGTACAGTGTCATCCGCAGATAAGTTTGACACAGTTCTGGGCAAGACGTTAACAAAAATCAGGAACAAAGTTGGACCCAAGACAGGACCTTGCGGGACTCCAACAGACACAGTGCATATCCTTGATTCCACACCTTGGACTAATAACTACAAATCCTCACTGGGTGAGTCTGTTTAAATCAATTTTATCAGTAGCCCAGTGTGCCAAATGCTTTAATTCCTAGGAAGCCAGTATGCGTTTTCAATTAAAGTTCCATGTAATCCGGTCAACAAGCCTGGAGAGTTGCGCTTGAGTTGAACGAGGAAGGCCTAAAGCCAAATTGCTCCACCCATAAATAGCCCTTATTTGTCCAAGAAATCTCTATCCTAGCCTTTTCAAAGATTTTGTTTAGGGAACTAAGCTAACTCATCATTAGAGTTTTTGCTAACTTTATGTAACATTATTAATTCTGCAGCTTTTAGGAAAGTTGGAAAGCGATCAGGAGTTCGTTGAAATCACAAGACAAAAATACAAATAAATGGCTAAAGTTAAAAACTATTTTTCACTTTTTAGGTTTTCCGTTGGTTCCACTCTTTTGACCGTCCCAAATAAGCCCCAGCCTTTGCCGCTATCCATTTCTATAGTCTCTCCAGGCTTAAGCAACTCTTCTTCCTTTTTTGATGTTATATTAATGACTTCCCTAGATCCATAAAAAATTGCTTCCACCATTGAACAAACCTCATCCTCCACATGGTCTATGAGGAACCAACTGACACATAACTCATTGGATCATCATGATATGAATATCTTTGAAAAAATTATAAATGAAGTAAAGGAAATCCTTTGTACAACCAAATATAAGTTTGTAAGAAAGGAAGAGTTAAACAGATGACTCAAATTACCGTTTCCTTCCGTCCTCCTTAAAAGTTTCAATTGTAAGAATTTGTATATTAAAGTTCGAGGCTATTGTGTTTCGATCCCGTCCTCTCTTCCATTCCTTACTTCCTATTGCTTCATTTACAATTAACTATCACCATATTTCTTTCTGTTCCACCGTCAAGAAGTTTGGGGTTGTCATTGAACAAACCTCATCCTCCACATGGTCTATGAGGAACCAACTGACACCTAACTCATTGTTCATCATGATATGAATATCTTTGAAAAAATTATAAATGAAGTAAAGGAAATTCTTTGTACAACCAAATATAAGTTTGTAAGAAAGGAAGAGTTAAATAATTTTTTAGAAACACCTCAAATCATCATACTTTATTTTTACATTTTCCCAACCTTTTTAAGGCCGATAATGTTGAAACATTTATCCATAATTAAAGCCGTTATTTCAGTTAATAAGAGCCTGTCCTTGTGGATTTTTTTAATTTCACCTGTAAAGTAGCAAACAAATTGTTTAAAATAACTCATACTGTACAGAACAGATAATTTAACTTACCAGATTTATCTTTCTCAATGCAGTAACATTGATCATAAAATTCTGTAAATGCTGTAGCAATGTCATACAAGTACTCGCATAAATTGTGTAAAGACCACTCTCGAGATATTTTAGTTAAAACATCATTAAACCTTAATAAAACCTAAAATAAAGAAAACCATAAGAATTAAAGAGAAATTAAAAAACAAAACAATATAAACTAGATATTTACTTTTACGAGATTCCATTCTTTGGGATGATTTACTCCAATTTTACCTCCATTTTGAACAAACTGTTTTAACTCTTCTCTTGTCACATTTGCATTTCTTGCAATTGCGCTTATCCTTGTATAAGCATAAAGCATATACACTGCAGTGTTTCCTTTATCTTCCAACATCTAATGACCAACAAGGACATTTAATATAGCTTAACATTGTGAAAGTGGTAACTTTTATTATTAAAACAGTTTTTAAAAATAAATCCATTACAATTAGTAAAATCGTGCGACTTGCCTTATCAAATGAAAAAACATAATCATTCGTTCTTGAACAGCACAAATCAGCATATTTTATACACCCGTATGCAATCGCTTCTTGAGCCGCCTTCAATTCTTCTTTTGTCAAAACTTCATGCCTATTTTTCTCTTTCAATTTTTCTTCAGAACGTTTGAGCCCTTAAAATAAACTTAACATAAATTCCATGTTTTACATAATCTTGTGAAATTTCCGTTTTAAAGCTATGTTTATTTGGAAAAAAAAACTTATTCAAACATAAACCAAGAAATGTAGAGTAAGAGGGAATAAAAGAATTACAGTTCAGAAATGCAATAGGCACCACAGACACAATGGAACGTAAGTTCAAAAGTAGGAGATAAATTGTTTTTTCTACAATTGGCATTAATTTCATCAGACGTATTTTGGTCTAATATAGACAGTGACTTTTATTATTATGACTATTATTTTTTATACATATTTATTTTAAAAAAGGCACTGAAGATGGTCTTTATTAAACTGAAACATTCTGGTGAAATAAATGCCTAATGTGGAAAAGACAATTTATTTCCTACCCATCATTTTATTATGAAGTTCCACAAAATCAGTATGTACATCATCAAAAAATTAGAATGGAAAGTATTCTGAAGTGTGTGGTGATTAGTGACCGTTAATCGATATTTATTTAGAAATCGTGAGATGCGGTCTGGTGTGATGTAGGTTTCAGAAAAACACTTTCTTTATCGTGCCAACGTTTCGATCTTTATTGAGATCATCTTCAGGGCATGGGATTTACAAACATTGTTTACATATAACAATTACATTTTGGATGTGGAAAAATGAATTTATACAATGCAAAATATATTTTTTTATATATTCAATCAAAGTATTTCTACTCACTCAAAGTGTTTGTCTTCTGTGTAATTGTGCCATTCATGCGTGTCGTGTTGAGAGTGCCAGTGAGATTTTGCTATTTTGTGTTTGTATATGTTGGATTTTGAAGGGGTGGGGAAGGATGTCGGTATAGAAAAGACATTTTTGTATAAGGCGTCGGCTTTTTTGAGGTGAAAAGAGCCAACGAAGGGAAAAAATGTGTTGGTAATGGTTCAGCCAGATTATCCTTTCAGGATTATATATAAAGGGATAAATAGGAAAAGGAAAGCTAAATTGTTGGGAAATTAGACTATTTTAGAAATATTTGATGTGTGGAATGTAATGTGATGATATAGGTATGTTATCTGTATTGAATTTGATTAATGATGTTGGCGTAGCTGCGACTGAGTTTACATGTATCTGTTCTGTAATTGATGCTGTGTTTATCTCTGTTGANCCCCTTCAAAATCCAACGTATATAAACACAAAATAGCAAAATCTCACTGGCACTCTCGACACGTCACGCAAGAATGGCACAATTACACAGAAGACAAATACTTTGAGTGAGTAGAAATACTTTGAATGAATATATAAAAAATATATTTTGCATTGTATAAATTTGCTTTTCCACATCCAAAATGTAATTGTTATATGTAAACAATGTTTGTAAATCCCAGGCCCTGAAGATGATCTCAATAAAGATCGAAACGTTGGCATGATAAAGAAAATGTTTTTCTGAAACCTACATCACACCAGACCGCATCTCACGATTTCTAAATAAATAAAATTTCTGAAGTCACAACCCTTACCTAAATATCCCATCTGTGAACATGGGTTTAGGGTCAGGGACTCGGCATCAAGGCTACTCGCTTTTGTACGGTGGTGTTTCACTTTTTTGTATTTATCAATATCCAAAGCCTTATTATAATTTTTTTAAAAACATTTTTAACATTAATTTTTTTTTTGTTTATTGCTATCTATACTAGACTAATAAATATAAATTGAGCAAATAGTATAGTTATATAGATCTGTTAGACCAGGAGGCAGTGGGGAGAGAAACCATAGCTGGAAATTTTATTAAATAATTTGGTGGGTTAAGAAAGAAGGTCACAAGGCCATCGATGTTTTAAATGGTGTGGAGGATTGTGAGGGTGGGATGTTAAGAAAAGAGATAGGGCTAGTGGGTGAGGGTGGAGGGATAATTTAGCGTGGAAATTGAGGAAGCGTGTTCAGATAAGATCTTTCATGAATAGGATTTTAATATAATTTGGAACATCGATATTGAACAAAATTGAATCTTTACCTTCATCAAGGAGGTCAATCAGTTTTACTGTTTCACCAGATCTTGTTTTAAACTTCTTTTTATCTTCACCTAAAACGACTCCAAAGCCGACGTGATCTATCCTGACCTTACACGGGTCCCAAATTCCAGCTTTTTGAGCACAGCTAAACAATACTTTGAAATGCGTGGACTGAAAAGTGTTTCTTATTAAAATTTCTTTAACCAAAAGTAAAAAATGTTTATAAATTACCTGCCCCAAGTCGGTGACGTATATAAGCCAGTCACCTTTTTCTTCTTCTATCCTCTGTTTTATAGCAGCCATGTCCGAAGTGTCATAAGTAAATCCACCATCTGATTTAACAATTGTCATTGGTATCATACCTTCTTCTAAGCCGAACATAACATATCGTCCCTCATCAAATGTCAACAATCCTTTAAAATCCTTTTGTGGTTAGTTATTTCTCTTTACTTAGTAATAAATATTTATTAGTTACCCTTTTCTTCGAGTTCTTTTACAACTTTTTCCATACGTGTTTGATAAAAGGACTCTCCTCTTTCTATCAACTTAATGTCAAGACGGTCATAAATTATTTGGAATTCTGAAAACAAAATTACTGCATACTGTGCGTATATAAATTAATTTAGACAAAACAAAAAGCACCTTTTCTCGATGCTTCACAAATAAGCTGCCAGCTTTTTATATAATCTTCTTCAAATGTCTGTAGCTTCACTACACACTCATAAGCTCTACGTTTAAATTGTTCGTCTTCATCAAATCTTTTCTTAGATTCTTTGTAAAACATTTGAAGGTCTTCAATCGATGGTGTTTCAGTTTTGAAATTTGGAAATTTTTCCTGTATTAATCAATATAAGAACCCTTAGTTAAAGATTGGAAGCTTATGAACCATGTTTCAAAAACAAAACGGTATTACTTGAAGGTGAGCAATGAGCATCCCAAACTGAGTACCCCAGTCACCAACGTGATTAATTCGAAGTACATCATGGCCTAAAAACTCTAGGAGACGGGCAACACAGTCGCCAATTATAGTAGATCTGTAACAAATTGTTGAAAATATTAACAAGAATACAATTTTTTTTTTAAGCTCACCTTAAATGCCCAACATGCATTTGTTTAGCAATATTAGGAGAAGAAAAGTCGATAAGGACTTTCATTTTTTTGTCAAGTGGTGGTGGTTTGACACCTTCAAGAAGATATGGCAAAAGCTGGTCACTGCAAAACGATTTATTCAACCAAATGTTTATGTACCCTGGGGGTGCAATCTCAATTTTGGAAGTAATGTTGCTAGGAGCTATTTGCTCTACAATTTTCTTTGCTATTTCCAATGGTGGCATTTTCTGTCCTGTAGAAAAAAATTCAAACAAATTATAAATCAAACTTTTTGTAAATGATACCTTCATCATTTCTATTATAAATCGAATTCATACAAAATCCACACTACCTAAACGTTTAAGCATTTCGCCCATTTGCAAAGCAGCATTGAACTGATAGTCTCCGAATCGTGGATTAGTCGAGGGGATAACCGGCTGCAAATTTCCTTTTATGTCAGGGAATGCTTTCCTCAAGGCATCCATGCAAATCAATGTTAAACTTGTACTGGGGCTAATGAAAGGTGTATCACCATTTGCATTTCTACACTTCTTATTTTTCTCTTCTTGACTTTCTATAGCCTAAATAAAATTAATCATATTGAAGTTAAATCAAATCTGGTTTTCTATCCATTGGCGTAAAACATTTAAAAAATAAAAGTTACCCTTTTTAATATGCCTAGGCGATACTTTAGCTTGGAATTTTCAGTTAATGCTTCTTTCAGCTCGACAGATTGGCTGTTCGAAAAATCCTTTTGTGCTACTTTTCCATCATTGTAATCCTCAATCCGATGGAACAATTCATCCACGATGATTTCCTAGAAAATAAAAATGTTAACTGAGCAGTTTTAACAGTAAAGCTGCATGTGATAATCCAGGATAAGTTCTTCAAATGATTAAATTTTGAATGTAAACATGGAACTCCAAGCATATTTGTAATTTCTAAAATAAAAATAACATAGGAAGGCAGTCGCCAAGTGGTTAGCTTGATAGACCCCCCACAGTCATGGGTATGATTCCCATCATCGCCCCTGGCTCCTTTTTTCCTGATACGCTTTCCCCATTAATACAATGCATCTGCAAATACACATGTCTTCCTTGGCTAATATGCTACGTTCATAAGGCCATAAAAAAAAAAATGTATATACATAACACTTTTGCATAATGGTATTACTAATGAATTTAAATCAGGTATTTATTTTAATTACTATATAAATTTTTAGTTTGGTCCTTCCAATCATTTTATTCTTATTCTTATTCTTGCTGGGGGGGTTGGTCTGTTAGATGTGTTTCGGCATTTTGCCATCTTCAGTGGGTTTTGCTTAAACATATTTGACAGACCAACCCAGCGAGGATGGTCATTACAAAATGATCAATAATGACCAACTCACAGGCTCATCACAGTGCAGACCACTAGGAAAATATTAAATTGAGCTTTCTTTGTGGTTCGGTAGTAATAAACATTTTTTTGAAATGAGTACTTAATTTAAAAAAGTACATAAATAATAAGAATAATAAACCAAAACATTGGTTGATGTCATCTGATGTTATTGTTTTGTATTTTTTAATGGTACTTATATTCTATCAATCATTCCCACTGAGTTATATCTGTTGATGAATCGACATTTTTAGCTTCTTTTTGAGATTCTTTATGCATGAGAAAAGGATTACAAGGGCGATAAACACCCTTGGGTTTGTAACGTTGCTGCAAAGGCCATACAGATCTTCATATTTTCTGGACAATGGACAACAGCAATAATTACCAGGAAACATATGGTTCAAATAAATACAGGTCAAACAAGAGAAACCCTTAATTAATAATTCTATGCTGCTTGGGAGGGTAAAGGTGTACAAACCAACTTCTTTTAAATTGAAATTATGTCATTTTTATCTTCTTTATTCAAGGATAAAGAAGATAGCTACAAGTCCAATGGCCACCATGGTTTGTATCTGTTGCTGCAAAAGCAGTACAGATAGTCATATTTTCAGGACAATGAAAAATAAATAATCACTACAAAAAAATTAGACAGATAAATATATTTTCCGTACAGTGAATAACACTAATCACTACAAAGAAAAAAATGATACAAAGAAATGTATTTTTAACAAGAACGATATGGCAGAAAACGCATATTAATAATAAATTAATAATTCTGTGGTAATTGGGTGGGTAAAGGTGTACAAGTCAACAACTTTTTGACATGATAAAGGATTTTAAGCTTCCTTATATATTATGATGGCCATCCATTGTTCCAAAAACAGTATAGATCTTTATATTTTCAGGATAATGGAAAACAAATAATCATTATGAAGAACAAATTAGACAAAAAAATATATTTTTAGCAAGAAAGTTATGCGCCAAAATTCATATTGTACATTAATAATGGGTGGGTATACGGCTAAAAGTCAACTTTTTAAAAATAGAAATTGTCATTTTTAGCTTCTGCTTAAGGTTCTTTAGACATGAGTAAAGAGTTACAAGCTTGATGGCCACCATTAAAAGTATGATTTGGAAGTTTGAGCAATCAACTGATTTTGAGTAAGATAGTCAAATTTTCTGTACAAACAAATAACGATAACCATCTACCAGATGAACATGTCTCAAATTGATTTGATTTTAATTTGCTTTTTATTTTATATTTTTAATTAGTACCGAATAAGTGGTAGTCAGAAGTTGCATTGGGACATTATCATGGTTCTATAACAAGTAGCCAACTTGTAGAATAGCGCCATCTAATTTCAGCCAGAACTATCTAGGAGTCGAACAGCCTCATCCAGCGAGTGCTTGGCAGTTGAAAATAATTTCTCTAAACTTGCCAGGACAAATCACACAGAAAGTGGTATAGATCTTCTCGCTGGAACATATCTCAGAGGCAATAGTTGGATAAGGCTTAACTTCTTTTTAATGGCATCTCCAACATCTTAATGGCCTTATATTTGGCCAATGTCAGCAGGACGTCTAGGCCACCAGAGACCCAAGCCTGACAGAGGGCCAGTCCACAACAGGAGAGGACAGGAATCCTCAAAATCTTCATCTAAACCTTACTTTCACCTATTTGGAGCTATGGATAAAAACCATTACATCAAAATTAATATGTTAAAATCCACATCCCCCGTAACATGTCCGGATTCACCCGTCTCATCCTTCACAGACAAACCATGGCCCAATCAATTTTGTAAATAACAATCGCTAATATTTACCCGTTTCCCCAGAGTTGTAAGTGCTCTGCCACTTCTCGGTTAATTGTTTACTATTATTGCTTGGAAAGTCATCCTCATCAAGGCTTAACATTCGACCTGACAAATTCACCATGAAGCCTAAATAAGTATCTTGCAGCACATAAATCCACTGCAGGTTCCCATAATAGGCTTGCACACTTCTCACCTGGAGCAAATTCTCTGTAAAGCGTAACATTTTTAGAAATCTTCGCTCCTGAACAAAGAGAAGCTTTCTTTTCCTTCTTAAACTATGACATTTTTTTTTTTTTTACTTTCGTTTCAAAGGTAGCCAAATTATTGGATACAGCATACTTTCCAGCCAGAAATGTACAATCATCTGCCAGAAAATCCTTCTCTTTATGGTTTCGGTCTTCCATATTAGGTAATTCTTGCAAGCTCATGTATAAGTAACTACAGTATTAACTTCTATCTCCAAGTGAATAATGTAATTAGGGGTGTAACTTCGTAAAATTCTCTCTACCCAAAATTGAAAAAAAAAAAAAAAAAAAGATATTTGCTTGTCTACCCAAACGTCGCAGAATTATACATCTCAATTTTTATATGAATCAAACTGAGGTTGTAAATCACCATTTTTAAATTAAATGAGATAATCAGACAGGTCTGCAGTGGAACAATTGTCTATTTAAATCAAATACACTATAATCCACTTTAGGTCAATTTAACATAAAGACACCTAATGACATAAATGATCAAGTTTAATTAAAAATTAATCTCAGTAGCATTTGACCTTTTAATCTAAGCTCTTGGTTGAAATGTAAAAGCAAGTGTCATGAGCGGGATTCGAACCCACAACCTTCGGCTCAATACACTGCTGCTTTCACCACTTGAGCTATCGTGACTTCGATACATCCGGACACTCCCCATCTCAACCTACAACTTTTCGAATTTTTCTCCTTTTGGAAATATTTTCAAATATCGTGTAGCCAGGATTCAATTGTCAGCGACTTAAGCAGTGGCCACAGGGAGCTGTTAGCTAAGCATGTTTAGCAATAATAATTGGCTGTATTAATTATTTCAATTAATTATACTTTTTATCTGTCTTGGTAGAGATGAAAAAGCAAGTGTCATGAGCGGGATTCGAACCCACAACCTTCGGCTCAATACACTGCTGCTTTCACCACTTGAGCTATCGTGACTTCGATCCGGACACCAACTTCCCATCTCAACCTACAACCTTTTAAATTTTTCTTCACCTTGCCATATTTTCAAATATAATCAGGATTTAATTCTTGGCGAACATATGAGTGGAGACAAGGAGTTGGTGTCCAGGTGGATTAAAGTCACGACAGCTCAAATGGTTAAAGCGTATTGAGCCGAAGGTCATGGGTTCGAATCCCACTCTTGACCCCTTAGATTAAAAATATATTTAATTAAAATAATTAATACGATCAATTGTGACTACTAAATATATATACATAATTAATATAAAATTGAATTGAAATTTTTATTAAACTGTTGTGTATTTTGACTTAAATATATTGAATTATTGATACTTCAGTTACTGTTTATGCAAAGCACTTTTAATTAACAAAAATGATGGTTAATAAACAAGAATAAAGAAGTGACAAATTCACTCTCATACAACAAAAACAACAAGATATTTTCTTAATAAAATCATTGCTGCTAGATCACACTTACAGCTTTTTTAGTGTCTTCAATCAACTCGTTAAAGCTCATTTTTTAAGCTTTATTCCACCTTAAAAAATAAAAAATGACCCACGTGCCTCACAAATTTAATACATTGCTGTTATATTAATAGCACAACATTAATGTTCGGTGCAGTGTTAACAATGACAAAACCTCTTCAAGTGTGTTGTGTACACTAGATTCAAATATTCCAGTGTTTGGACCGCTCTTGTATTTTTTGTTATTAATATTGAATTTTTTTACTTTATTGAATTTTTTTTACCGTATAGTCATTTTGTTAAATCTGATACCCAAAAAGAGTAAGTTATATCATTTTTCTTCTGTTAAAAATCTCAATAGAAAATTTACTATGTTTTATTCTAGTGGAGCCAAAAAGTAAGAAGTTTAAACGAAATCGACCCCCTGTAAAAGCAGATTTGTCAAATGAGGCTGCACTCAATCTCCCTCACCATGTTAAAAACGACCTGTGCAGGACAAGAGCTCCATATCGCCAGGGTCGAAAATTGACAGCGGTTAAGGTATGGAAAATGTATCCTCCTGAAGGCCTGTTGGCCATCGCAAACAATAAATCTTTATTTTATACTTAATTTGTATAATCATTTATAAGTACATGTTTTGCAATAATGTATACTATTTTTCAGACAATTGTTAATAAGATCAACAGTTAAAATAGATAGTTCTACTTGTGAACTTGGTTTTGGCGGTATTACAAGTACGTTGGACTGAAATACGTATATAAGTCTGACAATGAACATTTAAATGCTTGAAATCCGAACAAATACCTAAAATCGTTTGTTAGTAGAACTATCCTTTTCAACTATTGAATCGAAATATACTCACACTATCATAACCATTTTTATTATTGTTAATAGGTAAAATAATTTTGATGAATAATACATTTTTAAAATGTAATTATCAAATACACTATTATATAATGATTATGTCTTGCTGCAATTAGTAGAGATTATTTCAATTTCGTACTGCTGAACTCCAAAAACTATTTTTATTTTCATGATGTTAACCCTCACAGAATATAAATATAATTGATATTTCTTGTTATAAATTCATGTAAATCATACATGTTTAGATTGGTGCATTTTTGGCGTATCACAGGAAAAACACATCACCTGTTATAATAGACTTTGGTGCAATTTTCTTGATTTTCTAATTAAAATTTTTTATTATTAAATTTGAAGTCAAACGTTGGGTTTGAAAATGTACTCTTCTTCTAATGAAGAACCAAATTGGGCAATTCTTGGTGGATATTTCTCGGTTGTACTGAAATGTTTATCAAAACATTTTTATACTGCATCCTGTAATTTGTATATAAAACAGATTTGTTAGTAATGAATAAAGTTGAATGAAAATTATAGACAATATCGTCTTACGCTGGAAAACTTTATCTTCCCAAGAATATTTGATGTCTCTGAAAATATTCAAAATGCTTTTTTCAACACAATTGGTGTTTAGTATATAATTACTGACCATCATAAAATTACAAGAGGGATATTTTGGAGGCAAAGTTATGGATACCCTTGGGACATCCTTCAATTAGCCACCTTGTTTGCTAGACCTCATGGGAACTAGGCCAACTCAAGACCTCTCGACGTCTTTCTTCAGAGCCATATCAAGTCTAAAATTTACGCCAAACTCACTTGCTTTAAAAACATAAACCAATTTCACCATGCTATATAAACATGTGGTTATCAAGCCAATACTATTGAGAAATGTATAATTAGAATTCTATGACAGATTGGGCTACTTTGACTACTTCCAAATTTTACAGATCTTTTTTATTGTATTTTAATTTGAGAAAGTACCTCATACATTTTCAATTACTGTCAGTGGATTTTCAGAATTTAGTAGCTTTATTTATCTAATCGGAGAATGATTTTTCATGTGAGTAATTCATTTATTAATTCCTTCATATTGCAAATTTGGAATTACATAAATTATTTCAGGATTTATTAAGAAAATCATTAAAAAATTGCATCGGAGTCAATTTAAGCAGGTAATGGATTGTTTTTCCGTTTTTGCACATCGACAAATACACCACTTTGTACAATGTTTTTCATACAGACTAATTCTTTGTAAAAACTATATTATCTTATCTCAATAATATTCTTATTCTATTCTACAGGTTGTTATTAAAATTGATTTCTTACCTTGATCCACTCTATTTCACTGATAGAGACAACAAAAACATGCATTTATAAAAAGTGATGCTTGTTTAAAAAAACTACTTTTTATGAAAGTGTGTTTTTGGTTGTCTCCGTTTGTGGAATAAGTGGGGTCAAGTTAAAAAATTAATCTTTTATGTTCAGTAGTAATTTTTATTGTGGAACCAAACCAGTGAGAATAGGCTGACCAAAATGATCAAACACTTAATACTTCTTCAAAATTATAGGTCATACAGAACATTTGTATGAAAGAAATTAGTTCCTTTTCAATAACAACAATAATAATCATTTTAATTAATTATACTTTTTATCTAAGGTCTTGTCTGAGAGAAGAATAATAACAATAATAATTACGAGATATTTTGTTGAGGTCGGTTTAGTTTTCAAAGGAAGTTAAATTGGCATTTCCTGGCAGATGAGATTTTTCCTTGGCATACTTAAGGACCATTCTTTGTATATTAGAACATCACCTTGTGTATTTTGTATAGTTTTGTCTAATCAAAATCGTGTTGAAGTCATCCTTGTTCCAGCAGTGTTTTTTTTATAATTATAATTTTTAAATAATTGGAATTAATAATCAAAAACATAATCTATCAAATACAGAACAAAGATTGTAGATTTCTTACATCATTCACAAACTTATGAAAACTCTTTACTAAGAAAAATAACTCAACAAATTAGAGCACTGGAGATGGCAAAATATTAAAACTTGTCTTATATACCAACAAGGCAGGCCAGGATGATGAAAGAACACTTTTAATTTGAAATTTACTATATATTTTTTATTTAATTTGCACACCAAATGTTCAATAATGGTTTTTAAAAATATAAAACAAAATACTCATTTATAGTAATACACTAAATCTTCAATCAAATCCAGACTTTTTTTTTTTTTTTGGGGGGGGAGCTCTGGTGATTTTAGTCTCCCCTTTCTTCTATCTAAAGCCCCTAAAAGATTTATTATGGACTTGACCGTTATTTCAGTAGCACTTTCCTTAATTCTTGCTTGCTGAGAAAGAGGTAGATTTTTGTTTTCTTCGTTTTGATTGAGAAATTGATTGTTCTCCACCTGGTGAATTCATCCATTGTGTGGTCATTTCTTCTCCATCCATTTATTCAGTTCCACTTTTGAGCGTGCTTTGGATCATGTCAAATTGTGGTTCCAGACCAAAGGGTGTGAAGGTTGATCTGGTTTTTGCTAGTTTGTCTCCTTGTTGCCTTCATTTCCCTCATGCCCTGGCACCCTCATCAGAGTTATCTGATTTCGTTTCCACAGGAGTTGGAGACATTTTAGTCATTCCCAGGCCAGCTTTGAGTTTTAGGTGGAGCTTAAAGCCTTCACTCCTGTTTGGTGTCTTAGAATTCGTACATCTACCTTCTCATCTTTTTATTTTTATTTTTTTTAAACATGTATTTCAAGTTCACAGAGGTCTATTTCATGGATCTCAGCTGGGAAAATTGGGTGGTGTGGGGCCTAGAGGTTTCATTAGATCAAATTATGTTTAACTCCTGCCCCTTCACCATGTTTAAATTTCGATTCATCTATGTACTACAATAAGGCACATTTATTAGGGTTTTTATTCTTCTAAATATCTTTTGTTATTTTTATTTGGAAGGGTCTGTCAAAATCATTTTGACTCACAGTATTGTAGTCATCTCATTTATTTATTTTTTTTAAAACCATTTTTAGGATTTTAAGATGGCTTTCTCTTGTCATGTTTTACTCCAGACCTTGCAATCATTTGTGTGTGATTTTAATGACTAGGATCTATTGTTGCTTTATTTTTCCAACAGTACTTAAACATCCTTTTTTTTAAACATTGCAAGTTCTTGTTATGAAATATTTCACCAAAATCTGTAATCATACTTCATTCTATACATCTTGCAACTTTTCTCATGGCAACTTTCTAACAATACTCCCAAGACGTCTCAAACGGCCAAGTCCAGCAGGTGGTCTCAGAGAGTGAGAAAAATTCCAATGTTAAACACTAGTTATCATTGGATAGTTTCTCAAGTCATGTATGTTTAATGATGTTTGTATTCTTTGTCATAAATGTTACTAATTGCTCTAAGTGCAGATTGTGTAAAATTAATATTTAAAAAAATATTTTGGTTTGGAGTGAATATTATTTCTTTTTAATTTGGAGCATTACGTCAATGTACAGTGTGTCTCGCACTTTGTTAATATTTTCCTTAACAAATGAGATCTGATAGGTGTACACTGTCAACAATGAATCTCAACATTTGCTGATATTCAATGTACCTTCAATAAACCTGGTTGTTGAAATCAAGGCTCTGTGTGAGCGCTTTGGCAGCATCCATGGCTTGTACAAGCTGCTCACACAAAATGACGAAGAGTTCACCGAGACTTTTCACGTGCATTTTTCTGACATAAGGCAAGCAAGGTAAATTTGTTTGAATATTATATTTATGCATTTTATTCTAAGTAAAGAGCCATTTTATGATTTTAGATTTGCAAAAAAACAATTAGATGATAGACCTTTCTACGGAGGTGTGTTGCACGTCTGCTATGCACCTGAAATGGAAAGTTTAGAGGAGACAAGATATAAACTTATTAATAGGAGAAAAGAAATTGCATATTATTCTGGAAGAACAATAAATTCTGCTCCTTTTATGAAAACCAAGTAAATTATTTTTATTAAATAAAACAAAAGATTGCTTAGATTTATTGGGGCGTAAAATAAATCAGAAGCATTTTTTGATAGTAAATTCAATTAAGATTACAGGTACTTTTATACAAATTTAATTAAAATTCTATGAACAATTTGTTGCAATTTAACATGTAATTTTTTAATTCCATTCTCCAAAAACTTCTTAGTTTTGACTTATGAACACCTCAGTGTTGGCAATATCACGTAAATATGGTGGATGGTGTAGCAAATCCCAGCTAAGCTCCAACAATTTCTGGTGTAGCTGCAAACACGTGGTGGCAAGTGAGAACATGGTGGAAAATGATCAGCCAATATCGAGTGCTTTTGGTCAATTGCTGACTTTAATCGCTTCAATTGTGTGTAGTATACACTAGAATTAATTGCTTAGTTGGGTGAGAAAAGCTCATAATAATGCACCCCTTTTCAAACCCACCAAAAGCACAGCATTTCCTTTTTGAGATTCCAGCTTTTGGAATTACTGATGATCATCATTGCATTTTCCCCAGGATATTCCTCTCTGAACATTGTTATTAAAGACCCTGTTCATATCCAGTTATCAATCTTTTTAAAAATGGGTTTACATTGCGTTTTGGGAGGGATCACAAAAAAAATGCATACCAATCAATTCTTCTTATTCAGCATGTGAGGAACTCATATATCAATCTGACAAACATATTCTCATAGCTGCTCTAAGATGCATTTAAACACTTGTATGAGATATTTAAATGTGTTTACAATGTTTGGTGTTGGTGTGCTACTTAAATGAACAAACTTAAATTTGTGCTTCAATAGTTGAAGGACAACTTGAATTGCAGCTACCAAATCAAATCTCCGCTTCTGAGCTGATAAACCACATTCAGATGATGTTTTCTCTTAAATTTACCATCACAAATTTTTCAAGCAGTCAGCTGCGGTTTTCACTTTGCAGTAATAACAATCATTAAATGACAAACACTCGCTGTTTTCCTTGACTGGATTAGCATAACACCTTGTAAAAATAGATCTGGAACAAAATAGACAAATAAAAACAATTCAACTAATCCTTTTCAGAGTATGTAAACATTAATATTAAATAAACATTACTTCAAACCCAAGAGAGATAAAAATCAAATTGAAAAACGCTGCAGACTTGTTTTACAACCCAATTTTATTAATTTGTTCAAAATTATAAAGTTTTTTTTCCAGATTTATTCCTAACAAACCACAATCAAGAAATCGCTCAAATGTCAACAATTTTGCAAGTCTAATTAAACAAAGTTTTGTGCCAGAAAATACTAATATTCCTACAACTAGTCAACAAAAGCACACATTTCCCACTTTTGATTATCCATCTCAAAAGGTAATACTTAATATTTGTAATAGAGTAAAAGGTTTTAAATTTTTTTCTCCCCGCTTTACCCAGGTTTGGAAGCAGCCAGGAAATGTACCCGATTTTAAACAAAATTCAAATGGTCATTTTAAAAAGTTCATACCTTCATCAGTCATAAAATCAAAATGTGTTAGAAAATAATATTTCATAATATTACATTTTTTATACAACAAAAAATGTTGTGTTCTGTCAATTATTTTACCAATATGTATGTATGTGTAAATGAATATACCTAAAATGTAAAATATAAAATATTTGTATTGTAACAATAAAAATCATATTGACCTTACAAGTTTTTATTTAATTTATTAGGGATTGCTGCTGGGTGTAGATTTTATGGCAAAAATACAAAACTGCCACACCAACCATGATGGTTTACCATAAAGCGATAGGTTATTTGCACTTGGAGAATTTTCTGTCCTGTGTTAATGAAAAAAACTGATTTAACTTTTATATTAGACTTCAAAAATGCAATAATCTTTCAGAAGATTGCTCTAGACCACTTAGTTTATCAATGTTGTTTTAATAAAAATATAAATAATAAAAGTGTTATATATATATATAAAGTGGAAGGTTTATGGGCCGACAAACAGCTGAGGTCATCGCCGGCCCTCCGCATGTATTCCTTGTTACACACACACAATTATAAAAGTGTTATAATCTGACATAATTTTCTAATAGGAAAAATAGACAAAAGACCAGATCAGTTTTGGCAAACCAATTATGTCATATTTTGATAAATGTGTGAATAGTCATTAGTATGTCAATTAGTATGAAATTATTGTATTGGATGTTCACAATAACAACAACAAAATTTAGATATAAGGGTCCCACAGAATTCTCAATTTTGGGCTATTTTATTTATACATTTATTAAATTTATTAAAAAATAAATCAATGATATTTTTTTTACAAAAACAAATATAAAATTAACTTGATCAGTCTTTATTATAAACAATAATATTACAATAAGTATAAACAATTAATACCAAATAAATATTCTTTGGTGTTTTTTAATTTTTCAATCATTCAAATAAATACATTATAATTAAGTAGATACTGAAAAAAAAATTATAAAGGGAGATTATGTATGAAGGGAGAAACAATCAAAATGAATGAGTTCAAAACTTTTATAAATTATTTTAGTGAAAAATATGATTTGCCAATGTATAAACTACAATTAACTATTCATTGTTCAAACAGTTCTTACAAAATTTATATACAATGCATCACAATAAACACTGTCTTCATTTGCCGTAATTGCACAAAGCCAAATGTTTACATTAAGTCTTTTAATTCATCACTAACATTACATAAAATTATTTGTTGTAAAAAGTTTAATCGTGTTTTGTCTTCCTTGTTCGAGACCTGCCCTTATGGACGACCTCTTTGGGTTTGTAGGGCATGATTTGTGCTGCTAAAACGGTCATTACCAAAACACACAAAAGGAGAAAACCAAGCCCACTCGGAAGGTGGTTTGTAAAAATGTAAACTAAGCAGGAGGCAAACTGCAACAGTAACATGCCAACGACTGAATAAACACAAATGGTGAGCAGTATATGGTGGAGCTGTAAAAAAAAATTAAATTAAATCAACACTATTGCAATATGAAAAACAGAAATTTAAAGAAAATACCTGTTGTGAAAGATCAGCTATAAGTTTAGATAGGTTCTTTTTTGAGGACGATATCCATTGATGTATCTCATTCGAACTTTGATGGCAGAAGTACGTGGGAAATTGCCTTATACGATCGAACGATGTTGTTCTCATTAGAGATCGTGGGTTGGTGAGTTTCACACCTACAAAAAAAAATTAATAAGTAAAATAAATTGAAATCGTTAAATGTTTAAAATTCAACAACTTACTAATGGGAGCTACATTCTCAGTTGTACTCAACCTTACATCGACAAGTGTCTCAACATAAGTAGTCATTTTTACCCTGTAAAAATAAATTTTAATTGAGTTAATGAGTTTTATAAAAATAGTTTCGTTAAATTAAATTTTATTTGTATGTTAGGAGTGTGATAATACTAGTAGACATTATTTTATTTTTATTAATTATTTAGTAGTGTGTAATTAATATGGAAAAACTTTAAATATCAATTAAATTCAATTGAATACGAAAATGAAATTAAAATTCACATTTATACTTTTTTTTCTTTATTTGTAGTTAACCCAAGGTTAATATCTATATTATCCTCAGTTCAGTCCAAGATGAATTTTAAGTCCATTGAAATAAATGTTTCACGAATAATTAAAAAAACTCAGATGATCGCAAACGCACCCAAAATATTTAACGAAAATAAAAGTAGTTTTCACTGGTCACTAGCACATTTAATTCAAAATTCACGATGCGCCGGGCTCGAAGGATATCCAACAACTGAAACGGTATTGCCTTCTGCGTTACTATTTATCTGTTTTGCCATGAAGAAACCCCATTTTGTTATCGTCTTGAACTTAGGTCAAATAGGAGCCTTTTTGAACTAAAAATTCTTGACATTGATAGGCAGTATCATATTTTAAATATATACGACTTGGCAATTTCATCTTTATTATCTCGTTAATTATTTGAGGTTTTTCAAAAGCGTTCAACAAACATGAATTGCTCTCGACCCACCGACCGAATGGATCAATCAAATAAATGAATTACAAACATAAATTCTTAAAAGTGAAAGCTTATTTATTATTAATAACTAACTGTACCGTATAATGTAATAAAATACGTTAATCTGTTCAGTTAAAATGGTTATTTCTTGTAAATTATCAGTATAAGCTAATTTCCAACCTGTACTTGTATCACTCCATACATTCCGCTTTACCTGCTGTCTACTACTACACATTTAAAAATACTTACTTCCCTAATCGGAATACATCGTTAGCTGAGTCATAGAATTTTCGTTAGAATAAGAGGGAAATCTATTGTTAGATTCTTTCATTTTTGAAAGTTATTCGTTATTATGTGACCACCTAGTTAGCTTTCCTTTCACTCGTGCTTGGTTTCGATGTTTTTATTTTTGTTCTGAGCTACTGGTGACCAAGTCTTTCTTTCTTCCACTGCGATCTGAAAGATATCTTGTGGAATTGACCTTATTTATTTCCAAACTACAAGAAATGGTAAGACCATTAAGGTCTTTAGGCGTTATCGCCTTTTCGAAGAGACTGCTCCTTTCCAGTATCATTCAACCTCTTCGTGACAGAATCGACAGGTTTCTGTCTCAGTTTTGCCATTTTTTATGGTGATAACTGAATGGGCAGTGGCCAGTATGAAGGTCTATTATTTTCCCTAATTCTTGCCTGCAGAGAGAGGTAGATTTTGGTTTCGCTGGTTGAGATGTCGAACTTCTTTGATTGTTTTGCACCTGGTAAATTCAACCAGTGTGTGGTATATCTTTCTTCAGCATGCGGGCCAATTTGCTATTCTGATCCAAGAGTGTGAGGGTTGCTCCTGATTTTTCTAGTCTGTCTCCTTGTTATTTTCAATCCCCTCGTGCCTTAGTACACGCATCAGTTATCTGATTTCGTTTTCTCAGGAGATGGAGATATTTCAGGCATTAACAGATCAGCTTCCAATTGGAGGTGGAGGAGTGTAAAGCCTCAAAGTCCTGTTTGGCTGGCTGACATCTATGCACTTTTTAACCATTTTTTAATTATTCAAAAATCGTGAAATGCGGTCTGGTGTGATGTTTCCAGAAAAACATTTTTTTTATCGTGCCAACGTTTCGATCTTTATTGAGATCATCTTCAGGGCCTGGGATTTACAAACATTGTTTACACTTAACAGTACATGTATTTGTTAAATGTAAACAATGTTTGTAAATCCCAGGCCCTGAAGATGATCTCAATAAAGATCGAAACGTTGGCACGATAAAGAAAATGTTTTTCTGAAACCTACATCACACCAGACCGCAACTCACGATTTCTGAATAATTATCGATTAACGGTCACAAACCACCATACATTTTTTTAAATCATTTCTTGTTCTTAGTGTCATTACATGGATGTCAGGTTTGAAAATTGAATCCCCTCGTGCCCTAATACACACATCAGGGTTATCTTATTTCGTTTTCCCAGGAGATGGAAAAATTTTAGGCATTAACAGATCAGCTTCCAATTGAAGGTGGAGGAGTGTAAAGCCTCAAATTCCTGCTTAGCTGGTTGACATCTGTGCACTTTTTTAACAATTTTTTGTGCACAGTTTCCTTACATGGATGTCAGGTTTGAAAATTGATGACGTGGGATCCATAGGTTTTTTTAGGTTGTTTTACAAAACGATTCAATTTAAAAACTTATAGTCTGCATGCTGTTTAGACAGAACACTTCATACAAAAAAACCCGAGCTTATATATAATATACAATACCATTGGTTTAATTCATATATTATTTTTAATGTAATCAGTGAATCATTTATGACTCATCATGATAACAGACTGTTCGAAATGTTTGCTTAAATTTTTTTATGTTTATGTTTTAAGTTTTTTATGTAAGGTAGCAACGTAGTGTTAGTTGTATGTAAATATAATTTATTACATCTAGCGATCAACAAATTGTAATATGTTAGCTCAACTACATATTTCATTTTTCCAATTTTTTAATAGTTATCATAACCATTATTGGAACATCATTTTTAAAACGAGAAATGCAAATAATATAGAAATTGTACATTGTTTACGAAAGTGATAATTGTATTAGTTTTTTACCGGTTTGTTAATGTTTTCGAAAAGAAGGTGATAAAAAAGAAAATGGTGACGGGTTATCTCGGCGCAAGTACTTCTCAGGTCAACAAGAGACCTTTCTCAGATCGAAAATTATTATAATCTTAGTTTTCCTTGTCTGACCTTTCTTTATGACGAGTTATTTGTCTTTTAAAATTTTATTAGAAGATTTCAAACAAGATTGTAGATCTTGTAAAGTCAGTTTAATAGTTCCTTTAAGAATATTTACGAAATATCTCGATTATTTAGGCATTTAACATTGTTACTCTGGAAGTTTCAGCAGGATGGCCATCCTTGATTATAGGTAGAAGTTACAAGGAAAACACAACAAGTTTTATCATTTACATTTTTAAATTGTCAACCTCCCTCTTTTCATTTGTTCAATATAAATTCACAGTTACATTCAGTGATCATTACATATATCTTAAAATGGTTGAACATTGAAGATGAATAGTGGATTTTTTTTTCGAGGTTTCGCAACAGCAGAGAACGCCTACCATTGCGGCCACCGACGCCCCTTTTGCTCTGTTAATTAATAATCATTGCTTGAAATCGAGCAAACATATTTATGTTAAAATTACTTTGTTTCAATTTTATACTAAGTAGATATTTTATGCTTATTACTTTTTGAGTGTACGCTTATGAAAAGCATCGCCTAACAGACTAGAATTCGCCGATCCATGGTCTCAAAATTTTAACTTTATTTAATTAAACTGGATGGTCGCAACTGCTCAGGCGTTGACACGGCGATCATTACTGTAAGGTAAAGGTCCCGGGTTCGAATCCAGTGGCCCTGCATTGATCTGACCTCTGCCATAGCGAACCCTCGTTAAAAAAAATTAATCAATTAATTAAATAGTGCAAGATATTCAGGCTTATAAAGACGAGATTTATCTTTAAACTCTACTCTCAACACGACGCAAGAATGGCACAATTACACAGAAGACAAACACTTTGAGCCCTGAAGATGATCTCAATAAAGATCGAAACGTTGACACGATAAAGAAAATGTTTTTCTGAAACCTACATCACACCAGACCGCATCTCACGATTTCTGAATAATTTAAACTCTGTGTACACCTTTTTCTAACGTTACAGATTGCATGTGACAACTAGTAAACATTTAATAAAGTTATAAAAGAATAATTGTAAACAGTTTTGACAAGGACCATGCGGAGTGTGCATGATATCCAGTGGGGAAGATAGATTTTGCTGATACGGCCCCCTTGGCCCCGGCGGCTATCCTAACCCTTGTATATTTATCTTTTGAACTCCCAGCAATTATTTTTTTCTTATTTGTTTGTTTTTTATTTTGTGCCTTATAAATTTAAAAAAAATCGTTAAAGGCGTTTAAGCACCGCCGATGATCTTTGATTATTAGAGTAGTTTGATCATTCATCAAAACCCAGAGGAAGACTTTCTTTGACAAAGGAAATTAAAATTGTCTTTATGGTATCATCAAGATATAAATAACGTTGTTATTGAGATACGTTAAGTACGTGATAAACTGCTAATAAATGAGAAGTAAATTTAATAACTGACAAAGACAAATTAACTTCTATTCTATCTTCTTTCTTGTTTAATAATATTATTTTACTCATACCTTAACATCTATTTCATGAAAGCTTTTATGACTTTATTATGGACATGATTTATTGACATGCACTCTTAAGTACTATTATTAACGGCTATAATAACTTTTCGAAATCAGCTTTCTCTCAGTATGATCGGAAACGACCGACCTACATAATAGTTGATAGCTATTTTATTCGAAAAATTGATAAGACAATATTTAACGTTTTTGTTATTAGGAAGCTGCACAGAAAACCTTTTCCATTCTTCACACCCAAAATGAGATTCCACAAACACAACTTCACAATCCAGAAATATCACACTCTTGCGCTGAAACAGTACTGCTCGGGTGTTTTTTTTGCCCAAAGGCTTGAGACACCTCAAAATAGGGTCTTGATTTAGAAGATAAGAGTATTCTATCTTTTACCTACTTCCTTATTCTTCGATCATACCGGAATGGCCGCTTCTTCAAGTCAACCAGGGAACAACTCTGTCTAGTATCCTGTAAGGCTGGAGTCCTAACGCTAGTTAGTATCCTTGGGTCATACCTGTATTCTTCGTACATCGCTGATTTACCTACCCATCCCGACTATTCATGCACACTTTTGCAGATGATACTGCTATCCTATCTTAGAATCTTCCCGTCCTATCACATCGGTCCCGACAGTATCACCTTATCAATATAGAACATTGGCTGAAAAAGTGGCGAAAAAAATTGATGTTAATAACAGCCAATCTATTACTTTTACTCACCGCCGTGGAACAATGCCTCCACTATACCTACAACGGATTCTTTCCTATAGTTAATCATGTCTACTACATTGGGCTGTACATCGACAAACGACTAACCTGGAATCCATAGAAGACTTAAAAAACAGGAACTGACTACACGTTATATAATTTTATCACGACTTCTTGACGATCAAACTTGACGCTTCACAATAAACGTTGACTTATGAGACGACAATAAAACCCATTTGGGCGTACGGTATCGAACTATGGGTTCAACCAAGCAATATAACTATAATCGTATTCAGAATACAAAAAATAATAAACGCTTCCTCGTTTCCAATATACAATCCATAATGACATTAAAATTCCCG